CGCAACAACCCAGAAGACAGAAATCTTCATACTCATTGCCCTGATGACGGAGGCAGTATGACCTCTGAAACGTTGGTAACCATCGATCAGACTACACAGCGCAACAACCCAGAAGACGGAAATCTTCATACCGCTGTGAGAACCTCAAGTCTTACATAGCAATCTTCATACTTGCCACCATGAGAACCGCAAATCCTACTTGGTTTCAAAGTTTTAAACTCTACTGAATTGGATCAACATGGGGTTCAGGGTGTGCTTTTGTGAACATGGTTATCAATTGAACCAAACCACTGCTCAGAGTCAATGTTATTATGGCTCACCCAGTGCCTCCCTCCGCCTGCTTAGTGGTCCCTTCTTCTAACCAAGGTTACTTGTATGCTTGTGCAAAAACACACTGCCATTCTGTGTTTCGACTTTGATCAGAGTAGAAGTGGACTAGGATCTGTGTGGATGTTTCTGATTACGTACTGAAGCCTTTGCTTATAACAAAGATGAAACTGTGGGAAAGTAAAGTATGCAAGGCCCACATCGTGGATCAGATCCCACATTAAATTTTAAGTACCCTCTGCCAAACATTATCTTCATAATCATTTAATTCAATCGTGGAGGGGGGGGGGGAACAGGATCTTCTGCACAAGTGGCCCATACCTCAGAAATGATTCTAGACTTTCCTGGGGTTAACATAGGCCAGAAAAAGTACAGTAATTGCAAAATAGCATTACGGTCACTAGAAACGTACCATGTCATCATACACTTAATGTACACTCGCATAACACACCCATATAAGAATTGAAACTTTGAAATACCTAATTTTTTATTCTTTAAATATCATCTGAAGAAGTTTTCACTCTTGCATTTAGTCATCATTTTATTTTGTCTTTCTTGTGGTGTATGTGCCCTTTTTTTAAAGCTTAAAAATTTGTTACCATGGCAACCTGTCTAGAAACATACTAAGTAATCACTGAATTTTGGAAGGAATAGTTTTATTACTATGGATTTATTGCACTACAAACCTGTCACAGCATCACAGAGAATGGTAAATGCTAATATTTCATTGAATTCTACATATCACTATGTATATTTTTCCCTTTCATGTCCATGTTCATAAGTTACTTGTACTTTTAACATCATAAATGATATGTCCTTTACTTTGAAACAGTTGTCTCACCTGTAGTTTATATGGGAGTATATTTTATCAGCACCTTTCTTCAGTAAACACACTATGCCAAATGAGGGCCATTCATAAATTATTATCGATGGATTGTCACCTTTCTCTGCTACTGCAAGGTGTTGATACATAGGATTGGGGTTTTTCTGGAATCACAGCACATCGAAATATTTACATTAAACTCCTACGGAAAAGTAATAATATATGATATATCACCGACTTATCCCTACACATAATATTTATTACAAATCATTATATTTTATATGTTTCACTTATGTTTAATTTGATAAGGCATGTTCACTGTAACACAGTTTGCAATAAGAATTTTAAAGCTTTGTGCCCTGAATGCTGAATAAATTTGTTAAACTGAAACACAATATTATGAAGGAACATCCTTACAGTCATGTGGCCTATGCCTCCACCACCAGCACTTCGCCTGAACCATAATTCTTTAGTGTCTACATTAAAGACATGTATCAGGTTTCCAGATGCAAATGCAATAATATTTTCTTCTAAAAGCACCAAGTTGGAATATTGTTGACAGTCATAACCATAGGAATGGCTGTTTGTATAAATTGAGGAAAAATATGTACTGAATAACATGCTGTTAATTAGTTTGAAGCAATTTTATAAGTAATTGAAAGTGTGTTTCACAAAATCCACTAAATTTTAGTGTGTCACCTAGTGATGTCAGAGTTGTCTGGGGTCATTGACCATTGAATTGTGTCATGCCCCTGGCAGCCACTGGTGAAAGTACAAGGTATTGATAAGTGGAGTTTCTCTTCCCTATAAACCTAATACTACACTTGAACTACTGGGTCCAAATCAGTTAAATGTATTCATTAACTACGTCATGATAGAGCCAGAATTATTTATGCTCTAACAAAGTGATGTTGGAATGCCAAGATAAATTTGTGCTGTTACCAACTAATATATTTATCTATTAACAAAAAGGTAACAAAATGCTCTTTTGTAAAGTAGACGTCAGTATTGTCCGACTTAAAAATTTAAATGGTTCATCAATTTTTCATAAATTTCATCAAAATCGGTTTATCCATTAACGAGGGCGATTCCGCACGGCGAAGGCATCTGCATTGGGTGCTACAGATCAAGAGACAACACATAATTGATTTCATATTGTGCAAAACTCTTCACTCCCCAGTGGAAAATTTATAAACTTTTATTACGAACTTCTCCCAAATAAATATATATAGCGCGTCAACCTTGTGCTGGACCCTTCGATGCGCACATGCGAGGGGAGCTTGCACGCGAAGGCTTCCGCTTCGTAATACCTAACCTACGCTGTTAGCCGGTGAGGAGAAATGCCGATTATTTCTGCTATGATGTAGAGAGGGGAAATTGTTATCAGCGTCAGGTACACTCACTGACAAATCGTGGTCATGTTACTGTGACTGAAATTCTTATACGTTTGTAATGCAATGTAATTCCAAAAATGCTCAAAGATGGGTGGCTGTCTTCTGGTTGTG